GAAATTAATAGCGGTATTCTATATTCACTGTTTCAATCACCAATATTTTTTAACTGAACTAGCTGTATAACTGAGCAAGATTTCTAGTAGGATTAGTAGACAGTCACCTTTGGAAAATGTTTTCAACCAAGCTACAAGTAATGTGTTATACCCTAACGAAGACTAAATGAATGGTAACTGCCGGGAATTATTTATGGAATATTATGACATATATATTCTCACTGGATAATTATTAAGTAACTAGATTACATATATTTATATCCCTTTATCATTAGCTTTAGTTTGACCATATTAACTACCATTATACTACTAAACATGCTCAGTTTATTCACAATTCATTAGTTACAGTCTCCCACAACTCACAACAACCTTAGACTTCAAGCTGTATAATTGTCGTTTCCTATGTTGTGGTTTGGTGAGGTCTCGTCTGCTCGCATATAAACTGAAATATAGTATTCATACAATGGAGGCTGATTATTGAGTTCTGGGCTCAATGGGAAGAGCAGGGAGAGAAGCTACCGAATCGAGAACTCGTAAGAGCTCACCGATGATTCAAGGTTATCGGTGCTGTGCGAAGTCCAGCCGGTGTTTTTGTCACTCCACTACGAACAGCATTGGAAACAGTTTTTTTTAACTGTAACAAGTGAAATTATTCTTTGATATTGGTAGTATTTTTTTCCTAATACTATAAAAAGATGGAGTTGGTTGGGAATCTTAATAAAGGCATTTTACAAATGTAATAGTCCAAACACAACAATCCCTATATTTTCATTAAACAATTATGCGTGGGTTTTACAGCATAGTATGAGATGTGATAGGTGACCGGCACATTCAAATACTATTGATTTGTACAAATAAATCACAGTTAAGTGTGTCACTACTCGACATATGATTTTGTTCAAATTCTCACTATTTAAGTCACATTATTGATTACCCATTCACAAATGCACAACACGGAATATAATCAATAAGCAGGTCACACCACTATGAGCCGGCAATATGAACTAAAATTCCAAAAAATCAACAACAATTTCTAAGCCATGGTTTCGCATTTAGTGAAATAAAAGGTATTAACATTAAGCTAAATTCATTCATTCTGTTAATAAGTACTGAGGTAGATTTGTACCCCGTGAAATAACTTAGCGCTAGTATTTCTATCTATAACTACGTGCAAAGTAAATGAGACTGCCAAAGAAGTTCACTAATTTAGAATTCAACAAAGAGGCGAATTTAATTCATTGATGAATGCAACAAAATGCCGTGGTACGGTCGAGGGTGGGGAGAGTCCACTCTCCATCCCAAAATGCTCTCACATGGCTACACATACATAGCCACCATCAAGAAAGTTCTACTCACTGACTTCTCGTGGCGTGTTGTTTACGAAATTGAGAGCAACAGAAGCGAATGTTCAGCCCTCAACCGGATCGGTGGACACGGAGAGTTCAAGTGGATGAGTTGGAAAACCCTGATTCCAAATCAATGGTGCACATGGGCTCCAGTATCCCGAAGGACCAAATGGCGTATGAACCAATCGTTGGTCACCTGCTACCATGGGACTGCATCTCGTAACGTTTCTCCACTGCCTTGTGGATAGACCTCCAGGTCAAATGCTCGGGGAGTGGTTGCCTATGAAAACCATCTGCTTCGGCTTGGGAGCCCGAGCAATATTCTAGCCCTTGCACGAATAAAATGACGAAGTGTGACGCATATGTATTTGGTCCTCCTTGTATCAATATTTATGTGTTTAGATAATAAATAAATTATTGATGAGTACTGTTCACTAGGAATTCCAGGAGTCCATAAAGATCATGACCGATAGTATGACTTGAGATGTTATTGAGTCGATTAACTTTAAGTTACATCTAAAAAGATTACAGATCACGTGGAGATAAGACACAATACTAGATTGTATGATATTTATTCCAATAATTCATAAGAGAGCTTAAAACTATCATATCAATAATTGTTGTATTAAACATAAAAAAATCCTGATTCAGAAGCTTAGTTCAAGAATCGAAAAAAGCCAATTGCAACATTAAAATAAGATTAGGAAAATTTTTCTGTTATTTAATGAGACCATACAAACGTGTTTATGGTTTCTTTAACACAGATAAGTCTATAATAAAATAGATAGGTATTCCGTCATCTACAGCTGTTTAATATTTGAGAGCTGTCTCCAAAGTGAAAGTGGTGATTTTTCCAGCAGAACTTATGAAACAACTTTAACGCAAGAATCTAAGGTATATGAAACAAATGTAGTTAATAATAAATATTTAACATCAGATATTTGTGGCATATCTCGTTAATTGGATCCCATGACTCCTACCAATTATCTTGAATCTTAAGATGTAGTCTCCCTGTGAAAATCTGTAAACCAACGTAATAGAAGTAAAAACATATTTAAAAACGAATCTTAAACATTAAGGGTAGACACTAGACAGCTGGAATGGGACAACTTGTTCCGTATGAATAATAAACACAATAACAAACTAATTAATTTTAGGATTAAACTGAAAATATTTCAACAAATGACTGGTACAGGTATTTCAAACACGTAGGAAGTTAGGCGTGACTGAGAAATGTAAGTAGCAACGTTTATTTTTGTGGCATTAAAGACACTAGACTCAAATGTCAGGTTTGTGAATTCCTCTGAGAAATGCTAAAAACCAAGGAATATAATTAGAACAGGAGTTCTTGTTTGTGGCTTTGAAATGCATTTCAGTAACCAAGTATATATTTATGTACTAAGATTTAGGGCATTATTACGACGCTAGAATAAATGAAGTGAATTTCGAACTTTAGTCAGTCAGTCACGTGCAACGTAGAATCTGGAACACACGCATCCGTATAAGGAGGCTTCGGGACTCAAGTTTCAAAGAAAAAAAAAGACAGTGGATGAACCTAGAGCATTGACAGCAATTCTGAGCCACGTTTCCAAAGTCTGTCGACAAGTTTCAAACCTAAGCACCACTAGCTGAAATTCACTTCACCGTAACTTTAACGATTTTTACGAAATATCTTAGAAAAAATAATTGAAAAAAGGTTAGCAATGTAAAAGTTTGTGCTAATATATCTATGGTACTTTAATTTAAGTAAATTAATTAAATAATTCACCTCAGATAAAAAGTCTATTGAAATAACAAATAGTGTCTACCACTCTATTTGTTTACGTGAACAATATGCACATAAGTGAACAACAATATCGCGTTTGTCAAATAAGATCGATAGCACTGTTTTGCATTAGCAATTTAACATAATTAAATAAGTGGCACACAAAATACTGATTTTAATATTGATATATTACATTTTATGAAGAGAAGAATATTAAAGCCTTTATGTTATTGGAATTTATCAGTGTAACCTCGTAACCGAGTACAGATTTATGAAATTCACGTTGAACTACAATTTTTATATGAAGATATACAATACTACCCAAAATAAAATAAGTAAGGGGTTCAGACACTGCATAGAATTAAGTGAATATGGAATTTTCAAACCTATAAGATTATTTCCAACTACTTTTTCCCCTTACAACTGAATTATTTTGCTCATAAGTGGTGTAAACTTATTTCAATTATAATTTTTACTGCGTAGCACAATTGGAAATAAAATGGGTTATTCATTGTGTACAGGAAACATGGCTGTGACACGAAATTTTATATACACAACAAGCTGTTCTCTAAAAAACAAATTCAACATTTACATCGTCGATATACCATTGGTTCAAAGTCGAGTAAATAAACCTGTGCTTGATAAATTAGTCACATAATTAAATAGCACTCGTGCTTCTTCTTTACGCCAACGGGACACTAAATTGCTTATTACGAACAATGAACGACTTATTTGCATTCATAATTAAATCGGTTTATACTAGATAGTCAGCATGTACTATTCTAAAAAGCTTCGACACAAATCAAGAACATGTGGTTCGTCTGACTAGTACATGTATTAGTCATCAGTTAACGATCGGTTAAGTACAAGGGGTAGGGGAATATATATGGCACATCTAATATTTGTTAGACAATCTACCAGTCTGTCCAAGAGAACAATCAATCACTATTTTCTCTAGCCAACACAACAAATAAGTGCGTCGATACTGACCCCCATGATAGCCATATGCTAAATGGAACAAAAAGACCAAGATCGTCCAGTTTTTCTGCTATCCAGCGTGCAACTTTGTGAGACGGTGAGTTTATCATTGATAGGATAGGTCTAAGGGGAACGTCGTGCTTGTGAACTTTTGGTAAACCATACATATGATCTAAAACCACGTGGGTCACGTCTGCCTCATATGTATGGTTTACCAAAAGTTCACAAGCACGACGTTCCCCTTAGACCTATCGTCCAGTTGTTCTCGAAAGGATATATATATATATATAGTTAGAATGATACCATTTATTTATTTATTTGAACATAAATATTGGTACAAGAGGGGTATATCAGATATATATGCGCCACACAAGGATACCATTAATATACACGAGTGTTTAACAACCGCTGACATAGTTAATATTTCTACTATCTTGAGGAGACTACATATCATTATATGCTTAATAATAGCGGAGTCAGCTGATACATCAAATCCTGTGGTCGCTCACTTAAAAAAGCACTGCAGAATGAATGCTAGTTACACATTGCTCCAACACATCCTACGTAGTCGGATTTAGAAGTGCTCCATATTTGATATTTTAACTTAGTCACAAACCTACCGCTCATCGTTGCAAATGTAATAGTACATTCTGAATGGTGACCTAATGTTGTCCTTATCCTGTAGGGCTTCTCATCTTTTAATTTTCGATTGAACAAACTGACCTATCTCCGTAAGCATGTCTTTTTCCAGACACACACCATACAACAGTTGATAATGTGACGACAATAAGCCAACAGAAGATAGTAGGACATTGGTGCCGGAATGAATTTATATAATGTCATTACTGACTATTAAACACTACTTAGAAACAAACAATGAGCTAACCAAGCGATAGAAAAAGAAAGTCGCTGAAGATGCACTGATTTATTTAACAAATAGCATTAACAGTAGAATTTTTAAAATTAACAGCAAGATCACCGTTCTGTAAAGATAAAAGAAAGGGAAGAAAATAAAGGAACAAGGCCACATTTGTCAAAGTACTCACATTGCTGTTGAACACATAATTGAGTCTGTGAGTGGTATTAGCAATAGTATCAATAAAAATTAATGATGATAAGAATAATATGGAGATAATAGTAAGGTTTGTAAGGAATCCGACCAACAATTTTGCTGATTTTTCCATAACAAGTTAAATCAATAATAAAAGGACGGATAGGCAAAAGGACTCAGTTTTCACAGTAGACAACAACGTTTGTTCTTACGGTCCGTTGGAGGTCGCAGAGCAGCAAGGATAGCTTCGTCGAACACATCTTTCAAACCTTTCTGTACAAAGAAAGAATATATTTGATGTTTGTAACAGTTAGAAAAATGAAAAAAATAATAATAACACGTATGTAAATTAAGGGCAAATAAATATATTTTTAGTTGATAGTATGACTGTTTGAGTAGAACTTGTTTTAATGACGAGGAAATTTAATCGGAAATTCATGCTGTAAGTCTATATTGATGAATAGCCGATCGGGAACTCGAAATTTTAATTTGGATCAAGTCGCTGACTGTTCAGCTAACAATGATGATGGAAAAAGTGAAATACGTATCGTATAGAAACGGTAGAAATTATGCAGAGATCAGTAACGCAAGTAATTACGTTAACGAGAACAACAGCTCTTCACTACAGACCGAACTATTGGAACCTACAGTAAAAATGTTAGCAATATATAGATTGGATTAATGCATGTTCCATCCAGGGTAATGCTGGGACATTTTTAGTCAGTCACCGCCAGAGGACCCTAGAATATTCTTGAGTATAAATGAAAAGTTCACCGAGTTTTCACAATGTGATTGTTAGTCCCATACAACTTGATTTAAAAACAAAGAAAATTTTCTTCATTTAATTCTCTTTATTTTTATTCGATGACGTGATTTGTTTGGAATATAATTAAGTTCCTGCTCAAGCGTGTTCTGATTTTCAGGACTAGTCGAGTGAAATTAAGAACATTGAGTAATAAGTGTGACTGAGTCATACAAAGTGACCTTAACAAAGAAGTACAATCAAGCAACAGATTTTAGTCCAACTACTCACCACTCTACTGCTCTACAATGTTTGAGATATTATATCACCTTAGTATCGAGGAAAGAACGTAAAAGAGCAACGTAATAACAAAATGAAGCCAAGATATTCCTCTGCGCCTAACCGCAGCAAACTAGAAAAAATGGGCCAGAATCAGTATGGTAAATATTTCAATCCCACTAGAGGCCCGGAAGAACGAATAACAAGCACTCAACTCACGCGTAATATGTAAAATACAAAAATTTCCTTGAAAAATATCACGAAATAGAGAACTAAAAAAGACAAATCAATGGCGTTTAAGATCTTTCAGGTTGGAAACAAACTGAAGCTACTAATGAATGCTTTTGGAACGAAAGTGAGAAATTTAAATCTTCACAATTAGGTTACAAAAATAGAAATTTTATCAAGTTATTTCTAGGGATCTAACATACCAAACATGCTCCATATAATACACACTGTTGACTTTCAGTCAGTATTAACCATCAATATACACAACTGATAAGATGTTATATAAGATTAAACCTATCATTGGTTATCCTCAATACTTCAGAAATGATAACATGAATCCCAACCGTAGCTGACACCTTGATATGGTAGTCGGGCTTGTCTGTCGTGATGACTCAACTGAGCTATATTGGCTGGAAAACATGTTACTTAAGGTCCTACCATGACAAGGAGGTTGGTTGAAGTTCCCTAAAACCGAACGCAGCAACTCGAGGTAAGGGGTAAAGTTGAATTGTTAGCTGTAGAAGGAAATATTCTGGTGATGGAGAAGGCTTCAGAGTGCTACAGTGCTGGGTTCGCGGTCAGGTTATTAGCAACTGCCTATAAAAGAGAGCGGTCGAAACAAGACAGCATTTGCTGTACGTGATAAACAGTATCAATATAAACAAATGCCATTCGAGTTGGCGAGTGCACCGTTTACGTTCAGAAAATTAATGACGCTGTTGCTTAGGGATCTAGATAACGTCGAGGTGTATGGCAACGATGTAGTTGTGTACAGCCATACAGAAACAGATCACGTCAAGCATGTGGTAGCGGTCGTAAAGCGAACTGAAGGGTTTGGTTTTCGAATTATCAAGGACAGGTCGAAGATAGCGAAAAGAAGCGTCACGTTGTTATGACATGAAGTGGAAAATGGAGAAATAAAACCACTGCCTGAGAAAATTCTAACCATAAAGAACATTGCAGTACCTAATTCGAGAAGAGAATTGAGACAGTTACTGAGAAAGCCGGCGTTCTACAGTTGGTACGTTAAGAGCTCCAGCGAAATAGCAGAGACCCTATATAAGTTGTAGAGCAATACTAAGTTTACGAGGACCGGGACCGCCCAACAGAATCAAAAACATTCTAGACGACCACCAGATGACGCTCAAACTGCTTGAACCCAAGAAACCGTTTAGTGACCGAAGTAGTAATCCAGCATATTGTAGCGTGTCATGATATTAACCGACCACGGTCCCTGTTTTGAAAGTGACGAATTTAAACCCATATAAAGCAGTCTGGCATCAAAAGGATACGAACTACACCGTATCACCCTCAGACGAACGAGCTTATGAAAAGAAACAACCGAACTTTAAGGGAATAGTCAGCCTCTAGAGGAGGAAATTGGAAGAACGAGTTACCAATTATTTTGCTGGCGCACCGAGCCTCCATACAAAGAACAACCAAGAAGTCACCTTTCCTGCTTATGTATTGTAGATAGCCACGACATCTAATGCACAATAAGACCTGGTCACAACAGCAGAAGAGGACGGCAACAAGGTTAACAAAAGGGAGGCAATCAGGAACATGGGAACGAAAGAAATATCAGACACAAAGAAGACGGAACAGATTTTTGGAGGGGGGAACCTGGTAAAGTGTAGAAAACTGGAAGGTACCATAGCAGCGGGAAAAGGATCAGGTAAGCTGATCCCAAAGTGGGAAGGATCCTACAGTGTCACGATCCGGAGAGAAGACAAGTAGAAGCGCGTAAATGTTAGTTACATGTAGAGATGGTTTCAAGAACATCATCAGCGCGAGTCACGAAAAAAATCAAAGACGGCGGTACGAGTATCCTCTACTCTTGGCGGCCGTAAAGTAAGATAGAACGAATTACAGAGAAGTGCACTCGTCCTTTTACTAATAGACGGATATCTCGCTTTCGCCATAGGTGACGTAAGTTGGCAGATTTTGTCAGACACAAACCCATTGAAGCTGAGTTGTTGACGCAGGTCAGTCTTGAAGAAAGAATTTGCATTTTAAGGGGGAGAAACGCATCTCCATACTCCTGTCATTGTTTCTCAACGCTACCAAAAGACTGCATTTTACCAGCGTCTTTACCAAACAGGATTATGTAATCTGTATATTCTAAGTTAATAGGTGAACCTCCTGGGAGAAGATCAAATCCTGAAAATTCAAATGATGAGAAGGTTATTACCAGCAGTAGGTCTATGATGATACTGGACAGCCTTGTCGGACACCACTTGAGGTTGCAAAATCAAGTGACAGTTCGCCATAGACTCTGATTCGACTGGTAGTGTTCGAGTAAAGAGCGTTTACAGTCAGTCAGTCAGTCAGTAACAACGTAGAACTTCGTACGTACGTACATCAGTTCGAGTTGCCACACCACATTAGCACAGAGATGCAGTTGTCGATTCAAATCCCGTAGTGGTAGAGGTAATAAGAGTATAAGCAGTAATCGGGAAGATTAGGGTTTGGAGATGTTATTTAAAGAGTATAATCCAGTGAAATAAATTTGGAAAGAGGAAAAAAGGGACATGAAGAATTCAGAAGATTAGAATTTGGGAGAACACAAAGAGTGGATGCACCTGCGCCATTGCAAACGATTTTGAGCCATGTCATTCAGGGTCTCTAACCATCGGTTGCTATCATCTCGCGGTCCCCAACCAGGTAGTCTACACCTACCAACATGACTCAGTTCACTTGTCAGTGACTTCATGGACTTGTGCCATGTTTTGGTTTGGCCGCCCCTAGCTTTCTTCCAACCTACTCCTATACCACTGAACATAGCACGTCGAGGCAGTCGGTCGTTGGGCATACGTAACACGTGTCCCAGCCATCTCAACTGATGAAGTTTCACTACTTCATCAATTGATTTGCCATCCTTACCTAGTACCCGTTTCCTAACAACTGTGTTACTTACTCGATGGTCCCATGATATACGAGCAATGTTTCGAAGACACCTATGATCAAATACTAGTAACCTACGAATATCCTCTACTCTTACCGGCCATGTTTCACTGCCATAAAGTAGGACGGAACGAACTGCTGCGCAGTAAACACGTCCTTTGGTTGATAGACGGATATCTCGCCTACGCCATAAATGACGCAAGTTGGCAAAAGCTAGTCGAGCCTTCTGTATCCGTGCTGAGATTTCGTCACACACCAAACCACAAGGGCTGATGAGACTTCCAAGATAAGTGAAGCGGTCGACACACTCAACTACTTCACTCCCTATCACTAGTTCGGGTGTCGATGTAACCCAATCCTGAAGCAACATTTTGCATTTCGAGGGGGAGAATCGCATCCCGAACATGCTTGCATTGTTGCTTAGAGTGGTCAGAAGACTCTGCATTTTGTCAGCGTCTTCACCAAATAAAACTATGTCATCAGCATATTCTAAGTCAACAAGTGAACCTCCCGGTAGAAGTTCAACCCCTGGAAATTTAGATGAGGAGAGTGTTATCTCTAAAAGTACGTCAAGACAAAGTTGAACAAGAATGGGGAGAGTGGACAGCCCTGACGAACACCACTTGAGGTAATCAATTCTGATGACAGTTCGCCATAAGCTCTCACTCGACCAGTTGTGTTCGAGTAGAGAGCCTTTATAAGGTTAATGTACTTCTTTGGTACTCCTTTCAGTGACAAACACTGCCATAGAACCTCACGATCAACAGAGTCGAATGCCGCCTTAAGGTCGAGAAATACTACCATTGTGGGGCGTCTGAATGTGTGTCTGTGTTCTAGAACCTGACGTAGTGTGAATATCTGATCTATACAACCACGTCCAGGTCGAAAACCAGCCTGGTTTTCTCTAGTCTGCTCTTCACGAGCTTTAGTTAGGCGTCGAAGTATTATTGAAGCTAATATTTTAGACACTATATTAGTCAAACTGATTCCTCTGTGATTGTCACAAGAGGACTTTTGTCCTTTCTTATAGACTGGCACAATCAGTGATTGAGACCAGTCAGATGGGATTACGTCCAGTTCCCAAATTCTACCTAAGACCTCAGTTAATCTCATTGCTAATACTGGACCACCATCCTTAAAAATCTCAGGAGTAAACCTGTCAGGGCCTGCTGCTCTCCCTCGTTTCAGATTTCCTATGGCTTTTTCAACTTCGTAAAGACACGGAGGACCTACATTAACTTGCCATTCAGGTTGACTGGAGATCGTGGGAAACCGAAGTGTGGCTGAAGGCCAGTTGAACTGATCCCTAAAGTGTTCTGCCCATCGATCCAATCTCCTGGATTGAGAATGAATAATATGTCCATCTTTCTCTGAGATTGTTTCGCTAACGGTCGGTTTCCTTAACGAGTCTGAACAATTGTCTGCTATTACCTATTGCCGCTGCCTTTTCCATCTCTCTTGCTTTCGCTACCCACCACTGTTCGCGATCATTGCGTAGACTTCTTGTCAGCTTGCGCTTAAGCTGACTCCGCTCTTCATTATGTTCAGAGCCAGGTGGAATGAGTTTCCGAGCATCTATCAGTGCGATAGATGCTGCTGAGATCCAGTGTTGCTCCCTAACCTTCTGGTTTACCTTACTAGCAGATATCACTGCTGTTTCCACAGCTTTTCGGATATCATTCCATGCTGCATCGGGGTGGGCATCACATACATGGCTGCCTAACTGTTTTCCTAGTTGTTCCTGAAATATACTCTTAGCTTGACTATCATTAAGTAGGCCCTAAGAGGTTTCCTTGCAGCGTCTTTCCTACGTCCAGTAAGACGCAAGCAAATACGCGCTCGCACTAGAGCATGATCTGAATCTAGGCATGTGCTCCAGAATGAGCGACAGTCTTCTATCGAGCCCCTCCATCGGTGGCTGATAGCGATGTGATCTATTTGGGTCCAACGTTGGGACGAATTAGGGGGTCGCCATGTTAAAAGATGTTTTTCCTTATGCTTAAAGTTAGTATTTGCAAGGAACAGGCGGTTATCTGAGCATAGCTGCAACAGACGGTCGCCATTATCTGTTCTTTGAGCCACGACACCATAAGATCCACCTAGGTGTCTTTCCCTATCGCTTAGTTTACCTACTTGAGCATTAAAGTCACCGGCCACTATTACTACATCCGAGCGCCTAGCTTTTCGGAGGTCCGAAAGCTTTCTGTAAAACTCATCTTTTACATCATCTGAGCTGCAGTCAGTGGGAGAATAGGCAGAGACGACGAAGAGGCAACGACGAGTGTCCCTATCTTTCCGGATTCTTACTGTTCCGTTCAGTCGGACAGCGCACAAACGACTGTCTACTGGGATCCACTCTAAGAGAGCTAGTTCTGCCCTAGGACTCAATGCTATACCTACGCCGGCGAGGCCACGGGAAGCAGAATCAGGGCTTCCAGATACACGAAGCGTAAATCGAGTCGGTTCTTTATTTTGGCATGGTGAGGTCAAATGAATGACGCTACTCGGATCCTGTATGCGCGTTTCGGAGACGCAGCACACATCGATGGCGCGAGATTCTAAAGTTTTAGCTAAGGAAGCCTGCTGTCCTATTTGGCAAAGTGTTCGTACGTTAAAAGCTCCTACGTGTAGTTTAGAGCGTGGTTTCAGGAGACCAGGAATGGCGTTCCACGTACTCGAATCGTTTGCCCTAGCGGTGCGAGGTGATAAAGAGACGTGAGGAGGGTTAGTCATGGAGATAAGAGAGGTATTAGGAGGTGTAGGAAGGATTTGAATGTGACCACCTTGGTCTCGTGTGCTGTTACGGGTATGAGGGCTGATGTCACTTCCCGGCTGCCCACACCGTGGAAGGGTATTTCTTGAGGAACCTGAAAAGGAAATTGGATTAGTGTTGGTCTTGACGACCTGGGAGCGTGACCGCAGAGCCCAAGGGACAACTGCTTGAGGCCGGTCGCGCACGGCCTTTTTGTGGAAGGTTTTTAACGTGTTAGCTCCGTTCTTCAAAGGGCCTTACCGCCGGAGACGGAAATCCGTGAGGTAAGGTGAGGTGTGACATTTTTAGGGTCGACCTTTTCTAACCCCACCCCTCCTTGTGGGAAGGCAGCATCGCTGTCATGCTGGTTGTCCGAAGGAAACACCTTACTGCTGTCACACCGCTCTACAGTCAGCAGTACGACTTCGCCCTCAGACCTTGAGTTGCTGCTTTTAGTCTTACCGTTCTCCAATCGACCTGCCTGGCATGGTAGAACCTACAGGAACATATGTTCCAGCCAATATAGCTCGGTTGGGTCATCACGATAGGCAAGCCCGACCACCGCGTCAAGGTAGCAGCTTCGGTCGGGAAAAAATATGGAACGCTTCACGATTTTGCGTGTCATCCTTGCGCAGGGGCCATGCTAACCTTCTCTGTATCGTTCCAATTTTAGTATATGTACCACCGAAGCGAGTACGAGCCTTTACAAGGTTTATGTACTTCTCAGGTACAACTTTCAGTGATAGACACTGACACAGGACCTCTCGATATACAGAGTCAAATGCTGTTTTTAAGTCAAGATCTGACGAATGGTGAATATGCGGTTGATGCAGCCACGACCAGGTATGAAGTCAGTCTGATTTTCTAACATTTGAAGTTCACGAGTCTTTGTTAGGCGTCCGATAATAATTAAGGCTAGTATTATAGATGCTAAATTAGTTAAACTGATTCCTCTATGGTTATCACTGGATGATTTTGATCCTTTCTTAAACATCGGGACGATCAGTGACTGCGATCAACCAGATGGGATTACGTCTAGTTCTCATATTTTAGCTAAACCATTAGTTAACCCTACCGTTAAAACTCGACCACCATCCTTAAAGACCTCTGGAGCCAATCCATCCGGAACAACTGCTTTTCCTCGTTTCAGATTAGCTATAGTTTTTTTATATTCAATTACAGTCGGGGGGGGGTGAAGCTATTTCAATGTTCCATTCAGGCTGTTTGAAAATGGTGAGTAAATGTAGATTAGCTGAGGGCCGGCTGAACAGCTCCTCAAAGTGTTCCGCCCGTCGTTCTAAACGTCTGGGCTGAAAGCAGATAAGAGACGTCCTTTCCTGAGATTGACTAACAACTGAATTCTTAATTCCGGTTTGTTTTATTAGCCTAAAAAGATGTCTAGTGTTACAAATTTTACACACAAATAATAAACTTTACATGTTAAGTGTGATAACCAACAAAAGTAGTTGTAAACAGACTAATGTTGTTAAGATAGTCGCTCAAGTTAGTTATTTCACGAATAATAAGACTACTTAAATCTAAGAAAAGTTCAACAAAGTCACATCTAGGCTAGAACTAGACTACAAGTAAACGGAAATCAACCAGCGGAATTATTTTTTCAAGTGTCTCATCGTTTTAGCTTTCAAAGTTGATGGTTAATTACCAAACAATCATCACAAAACTATTTACGAAACGCATGATATTCATCACAAACAAAAACAACTCCAATGGATGGATAAACTAGAAAAACAAAAGCTGACCTGGGTAAGAGCCGAACACTCCTGATACTTGACGGCTTTTAAACGTTCGGCGAGTTTTTTGCCCTGATCACTACTGACCATTTTCGCTTTGTCGTTATGCAAGCGGGTTATTGTAGCGCCTTCATCGCGAAGATCGATTTGTGTTCCAACAAGAAGGAATGGAACCTTGGGCGAGTGATGTCTTATTTCTGGGACCCACTGGGAATAAAAAATTAAGTGCTTATATAGACTAAGACAAGACAGCTTGCATGAAGATAAAACACTATAAGCAAAGAACCTGATGCAAACGTTTCTGATGAGCTAATGGATGACATCCCATTTCCTTGTATGGTAAAAGGAAAATGAAACCTACAAATACGACGTGCAAGCCACTTTACATCACAGCAGTGTACTGATAGTTTCATATCACTATTTAGTGATGGCCAAGATGAAAGTGACGCAGAAAAAACACTGGAAAAAAAGTATTACAAAAGTTTAATACAGCCTTTCTTTGAGATACTGAAAAACTCGGCGAATTGAAGATCACACTCAAAAACAAATTTCAAGCCTACAGGCCGAATACACAAAAGCAAACAAACGAGTGACGAGGAGAATTACATATATTAATAAGAAATATATGGAAGACCTAGCAATGACAAAACTTCAAGAGTAGGGAATATAAGGCAATTATATGATATAACGAACAAACTAGATGAGAAATATAGTAAACCAGAGCGACCAGTCACGTACGAAGAAGGCAAACAATCCCCGAGATTCAAGAGCACCAGATGAAGCAGTAAAGACTGACAGAAGTAACGGCCAAGATGCTCTACATTCTCTACAGAAAGATTTGAGAAGATGAACAAGTACTGGCATGGAAAAATGATAACTCACTAAGATATTAAAGAAAGGAAATCTCAGAAAGTATGAGAACAACAGAGGCACTGCACTACTCTGAGTACCTGGCGAAGTTCTCAACAGTGGTACAGAGCCCAACTTCGGATCAACAAGTTGGATTCCGTAAAATAGTAACACTAAGGATCATTGTTAAACAATCAACTAAATAGGACTCATTACTACAGAAAAAAGTTGCTTGACTATGAGAAAGCATGCGACAATGTGCATAAGAGAACCTTACAAAACCTTCGACACTTCTGTACCTGAGATTGTCACCGCCATACACAATCCCTGCGACGGCCCACATTGAGGATCTGATGCAGATATGAAGGGACAGACTGGCAAAGCAAGGACAGCATTCCTACAGTCAAAGAACATCTGGAACTCGAAGTAACTATCAGCCAACAACACAGCCAGAATTTTTAACACAAAAGTCAAAGTGGTCCTATTGTACAGAGCTTAAACTTGAAGAACTGCTACAACCATAATCAAAAATCTAAAGGTAATAATAAAAGGCTGTCTACGCACGATACTCCAGATATGTTGGTCAAGCACTACCAATAATAACCTGTTAGAGAGTAAATCAACTTCCAGATAAAGAGGAAATCAAAGAATGAATAAAGATGAATAAAACACATTGGGGAAATCATTAAACTGTATCACAAAGCAAGCCCTAACATGGAATCTTGAAGGGAAAAGGAAGAGAGGAAAATCAGACAACACATTGCGATGAGAATTAGAGACAGGTGTAAAAAATGAGTAGCACTTGACAAGAACTAAACACGAACCCAGGACAGAGAATCCTGGCCGGTGGCCCCTGCACCGCGAGGAGTGAAAGACATAAGTAGATGTGCTTACTAAAAGAATCGACAAACGAATCTCATTTTATTTATTTGAACACATAAATATTGGTACAAGAGGGCACCAAATATATATGCGCTACAAACAGATCAGTGGGTGCTTGACAAATAACCAGATAATTCAAACATATTCAACATTTGTGGTGCCCGTATGGAATCGTAAGTATTCGTATTACCAATGCATTACTTGCATAAAATTATTGATTTGGTTGCCATTCTAATGTACAGCAATCGACTGCTTACATCAACACTCAGATGAATGGTATTTTACTACTGATATGACAGAAAGTCATCATATTAACTCCTTTGAAGCACTACTTGTACATGAATGAGCCATTAAGTGTGCGAAATTGATGATAGTCGTAGTGAGAGATAAATGCTGAGGCTCATTATTGGGACTCAAAACAACTGTCAACCAGTATCAAAGTCAGAATCTTCAATACGAACGTCGAGACAGTTGAAACTTGGAGGACTACTACAACCATCATCAAGAAGGTAGAATTATTTATAAATATTTTTCTTCGCAAGATACTCAACATCTATTGGTCGGATACCATCTGTAACAGTCTACTAGAGGAGAGAACAAACCAGCTTCCAGCTGAAGAGGATATTAGGAAAAGACGATGGAAATGGATAGAACATACATTACGGAAATCACTAAACTGTATCACGAGACAAGTGCTAACTTGGAATCCTTATAAGGGAGAATGATAATCGAATAAAGACAGGAAGACCATGGTAAACCGAGACAATCGCTATTTATGTTTGAGCAGGAAACAACCTTACATTTGACTTGTTTCGCATCAGAAATGAAGTATATGACTAGACTTCGGATTTTATGATCATTGTGAGTTTGGAAGCTAGGGATATAATACAACTCCACATAACAGTTAACGCACCCATATCCGAATACTAAGTTGCAGACTTATATTCCGTTTTAACACCTTTTGGAACAAAAGATGATGTCAAAATAGAGACTCCCAGGCTACATTTAGGGCTACATAAGCAGGGATATTGAGAAGCATCAAAGAATCATGAAATTTCTGGTTGCGGCTTTATAGAACAAAAATGGTTTATCATTAAAGCTTCGCTGATCGACTGGATGGTAATGTCGGAGTAGAATTCGAAGAGTCAAGTAGTGAGACAACAAAGGTGACTAAAACATATAGTTCAGAACGAGTGTGCGCACTCGACCAAATGGAAGAACTACCAACAAGAGAACTTCCTGCAAAGTGTGTGGCTGGATATTTCTTGTAATCCCTGACATAAATTTTGTAATTACGGTTTAACTATAATTTATGGACGAAACAACCAGATCTAAGATAGCGGGTCCTGAAATTCGACGTGAAATTTACTCGTCCATGGGAGCACATATCATTTTGGCGTTATAGCTGATATCAGGTTGCGACGAAAACCCTAATTATATTTCTTCACCCTAATGTCCAACAGTAAATCCTAAATAAATCACAAGATATTTCTGCGTGTCAATGAATAATAATTGGAGCAAATGAGAATCTAAGGACATTAAGAGAGCAGTGGTATTAAAAAACTGCGGTTTTACCTTTTCCTCGACGTTCACGAAAGAGGTGGAGTTGACCACAGAAAAGCAAATAAGGTAAACATCCGTTTGAGGATAACTAAGGGGCCTCAAACGGTCATAATCTTCTTGACCAGCTGTGTCAAAAAGTCCCAAAGTGTACGGTTCCCCTCCAACCATAACAGTTACAGCATAGTTATCAAAGACCTGTAGGTATTATAGCAATATAACCAGTGACCTTACAGTTGGAACATAATCCATCGGAAATTTGTTTGTGGTGTACGATATAAGTAGGCACGTTTTCCCAACGGCTCCATCGCCAACCACAACACATTTAATAGTTCGCAAGTTATCAGTCATCGGAAAACAGAATGCAAATTGACGTACAGACAAAGTTTAATTCCCGCCATCAAAACACCTTGAAACAAACTAACAAAGAAATAATAGAAATAAAAATATAGCATGAGTCAACAAAATTTTGGATAAGTGCGCATGTGTTACGGTAACACAAATTGACGCACATACTTATATGGCGGGAACTACAAAAGCACGCCAAATCGGCAAGTTCTGATATAATTTTATTTTACATGTTATCTTACGTTGTTTGTTTCGCGATAACCATAAATCAAAATAATCTATTTGCCTCCTTTAGTTTTAAAATTTCCATCCACTCCATCGTGCTTGATTTCGGGGAAAATTTCGTTATAGATATGCTTGTATATGATATGAAGATAGTTACTGTATTCACGGTGCTTATTTAGTTCCATAAATAATTGCTGATTTGGCTTCTATACAACCATATGTCCGTTCTGGGCTTTTCTGCTCGCCCGCAATGTACCCGATCTAGTGAGAGAAAAATGGGAAGATATATCAGGTCTAAAGTCACTTCTTAGTATTTTATACATGAAAATCAGATCACCTCCCAATCTGCGGTGGGGTAGAGTAAAGATGTCTAGCTTTTCAAACCGCTCCTTGTATAGTAAACTCCGGAGTTCTTGATTCGCACGAGTAGCTGCCCTCTGTACTTTTTCCACGGTATCCGCGTTACCTTTTACACAGGGGCTTGTAGCCTGAACGCAGTTTTCAAGCTTAGCTCCCACTAAGGTTGCATATACTGTAGTGAACATGGTAGTTTTTAACTTTGTGAATGTCCGTCTTAAAGCTCATAGGTTTCTAAACTCCCTAGTTACAACCTCCAGGCAATGGATCGTGGTCATAAGCTGACGACTTGTCACCTCAAGATCCTTGTAAAACCGGACCACGTGTACAGATACTTACCCTATGTTGTACCTATTAAATTTTGTATCCCGAAAGTGCATGTAGACGCACCAGTCTCTCTTTAGACCAACTAATCACAATATTTAAGTCTGTCTGAAATGCACATAAATTTGCCTCTTGTTATTTCTAGGCAAATTTTTAGTAACATTGGGGGTTCAACTATACTTACGAGCTCATTTACATTCAGTATAAAAAGTAAAAACCTAGGACGAAATCTTGCAGTAATTCACTAAATACTGGTTTCCAGGTGGAACACTTGGAATTTACTTTTACTTTCTATTTACGTCCTACTAGGAAATCCTCAAGCCATTTTATGAGGGGTCCGGCAATACCAAGATTTTCCAGCTTCGATAGCAGTCTATTTGTTGGCACTGTTAGATGCGTTGCTTTAGTCTATGTAGAAAACACCCGCTGATTTTCCATTCTCTAGAGCCTCTATCCCTTCCTTCCTTGCTATAAGGAGGTTTGTTGTGTAAGATAAACCTTTTCTGAAGCCATGTTTTTCAGTTATATATCGTAGATTAAAAATTCTGTGACTGTGTCATTTATATATTTTCTCTCATAACTTAACTCGATTGGTAAATAATTTATGTGAATATTCGTCAATGTTAGAACAAATGGTTTGACATAAATTGAACGCCGAGTATAGAGAAGTCAGTATAGGTGAGATTCATATTTGCCTGAACACCGACTACCACGATGCGCAGTGCTGACTAGTGTTGGGGATAGTTGGCAAAAAGTTAGGGACGACCAAACCAAAACGTGTGTCAGTGCTTGAAGTCACTAACTTCTGATCTAAGTCATGTTGGTAAATTCAGGTTACTTGGTCGGGGTCCGCGCGACTATCGTAACGAATGGTTGAAGACTCGGTGTGACATGACTCAGAATCGATCACAATAACGTAGGTGTATGCACTCTTTGTCTTCCTTTAAACCTTGAGATTAAAATTTTTATGCCTTGATTTTTACCAACTAATTCTTTCTTCCTGTATCATATCCTTTTATGCAATCTTTCATCTATATATCACTACCATTGAAGTAACTGGTTTATAAATTCGGTGTTCATCTTGTTGTGCTTATGAGGTGTGGTAACTTGGACCGATGCATATATGTGCCTGGTCCTACGTTGTAGCTGACTGATATCATTCTCATCTGGTAACTTTTCTAAAATCTCAGATATACACATACAAAACACTAAATTCAGTCAACCGCTTAGCAGTGGACATTGTGGTCAATTAAATACATTAATTATATGTCGCTGTTCAGTTGTTCAGTTTTCATCATACTTTATCAAGCTGGAGAAACTTGTAGTGTATAATATTAGTACTTTTGCATATTTTTGTGTTATTGTTATAGAGGAAAGGCTTACGTCTACGAACACGCTTTATTTTACTGGACTAATAACTAGTACGGTGATCAAAGAGTGATGCAGGGTACTGAATTATTACGATTTCTTTTAGAGCTTAACTTCGTTTTTATATTATCGTGGCAATTACGGGACATTGACACTAAAATAAACGTTATTAAGACTCGTTCGAAACACTAGCAACTGTATAGTACGTATTTGAAAGGTCATTCATAAATTAATCAATTCCAAACCTGGGTGTCATGTTTGATTTTTGTCTATTCCAGTCACCGCATTTTTATACACATTTTATATTTTGGGATTTCTGATACATTTTATATACCGTACAAAATTCGCATTCAACAGATTTTTTTTATCTAAAAATAGATTTTTGTGATTTGTCTTGTTCTGTTTGAATTACTAATGTATTGCAAAAACTTTCTTTTTGACTATTTAGAGGCACTAAAATGCATGCTCAATCTAAACGCCCCTCCAAATTCTTCGGACGGACCGCAATGGAAAGTAAGCCTTCGTAATTGCTCTAAACTCTTTTATATTATTATAGATCTTGATATACGATCAACTGGGAAGAGATATCATCTCACCGTTATTAACAGTCAAGGATTTACGTATGCTTGGTGTCACATTACATTTGTAAGTGATAATACTGAATATAAATAATTATACTTGTCAGAATGTTACAGTCGCCACGTGAACAGATCCCAGATGTTCCCGCTGTTTATTTCGTTTACCCTTCCAAAGATAATATTAATGTTATATGCAAGGTTGGTATGATTTTATATTTAAGACTTATTGTCCAAAGGATTTTGAAGCAGGTAGATATGATTCGTATTACTTGAATTTTATCAGTCCAATATCACGCGAATACCTTGAAGAAATAGCTCAAACAGCATTATCTGAAAACTGTGTTCATCAAATTTCAAAAGTTTTCGATCAGTATACAAATTTTATTTGTTTGGAGGATGATTTATTGACTCTTAGCTCACCCACTGATGGTCCTTCTTCCTTTTATGGTAAGTTTATTATCTCATATGTAACACATTAGTTCTATATAAATTAGTTGACGTATTTGCTTCGTGTTCAGTGTACATTTAGTCGATATGACGGTCATTACTGGATAATGATTAATTACCTTCTGATTCTTAATTTTATACGTGATTTATTCATTTGTCAGTTGATGTGTAGCTTAGGTTCAGATAATCTTAGTTGAATCTTTTGTGTATAAGTAGTATATTAAGTTATCAGACGTTATCAGACATGGCTCAGAATAGAAGCCAGTGGCGATCCTGCTGTAACCTTCTTTTACTTTCTCTGTAAAAAGCGGTTGTATCTTCCTTAGCTGAAAGATTTCTTCTGATTGTACCTTTCCATTTCCCCATTATTACCACTATTATTATTACACTGCCTTACACCAATCTCTTCCTTATTGTTCTCTTTTTTTGCCCTCCTTACCTTTTTTTCTTTTTCCTTCTCTTCAAATTCTCATTGTTTTGTGTGGCGCATATATATTTGGCGCACTCTTGTACCAATATTTATGTGTTCAAATAATAATAATAATCTTGAAATCGATTTTGATGCTAATATTACATATACCCTAGTATTATTGTGATCCGCTTATTGAAAATATCACCTTTTAAATATGGCCAAAGCTTATGATTGCAGCACCGTAACTTAGAGTCACTCATTAACCGATCAGACTGATGCAAGCAATCAAAATTGTGCATAGTTGTCAGTTTTTCCTTTCATATTATTGTTCGTTTGAGCCCTTGGAAATGTCCAAAAAATCCTTAAAATGTTTTCATTGTAAGGTTATACAAACTATCCTGATAGGATGTAGAGAAAGACGACTTACATTATCGTGGCTTGGAGCGATACCACTTTTTACACTTTATTAAATTCCGTAGATAATCAGCACGTAAATGTAGGCTGATGGTAAGTACAAGCCTGTATCCATCCCTATAGGCTATATTCGTAAGCGGATAAAATAAACTTCTGAACTCAATTCAAAAGATGTCATGTCTCGTATTTGCAATCATCAAGTTAGGGTGATTAGTTCAGCAGTGTTCGTTAATGTGATCAAGGTTATCAGAACTGTAGATCAAGTAAATCTTATTGTATCATAGTTATTTATCGGGTCCTAATGCCCTTTAAAAGTCAAATGCCAGAATTATTTACTTACGATGTCACATGAAAGTACTAAGACGGTTTTTAAAATTCTAGGTTTTATTTGTTTGTGACATGTGTAGGATATTTATCAGAAGTTGATTTCGATAAACCTGGTTATATAATAAGGATAAATAAAGTCAAATGGTATCACCCATGCATCGCATGTGGGTTTTCAAAGTATATCAATTTTTTCCGTACCAGATTGATTGACATTGTCTTCGCATTTGATATTTAGTACTCTTGTACTGTCTTTCATTTACCATTTCGTTTTACAGCTCTTAATCGTGCGAAAGCTACAGAAGTGGATATGGAGAATTTAATCCACTCAGTTGTTGATGGATTATTTTCAATTTTTGCGACACTTGGCTCAATACCTATTATACGTTGTCCTCGTGGTAATGCTTCTGAAATGGTAGCATGCCAGCTGGATTCGAAATTTCGTGATAGCCTTCGAGATTCTAGGAATTCACTTTTTATGAATAATACAGCACGCGGTTATGGTATCACTGCAAATGACGATTCGTCTGGAGAACGTCTAGGATTAAACTCTTCATCACCACTCAGTCTTTTAAACAGGAACTCTCAAACGAACTCACCACCAAACTTATTTCAGCGTCCATTGTTGATTATTTTAGATCGCAGTTTAGATTTAGCCTCTCCACTACACCACGAGTTGTCCTACCAAAGTTTAATCCATGAT